TGTGAAAAAGACACTTTGCAAAGACACTTTGGGGTGTCTCTCTCTCAGTTCCAGGGACCAGGCTCTTGCCAGCTCTGTGCCAGCTCAGGTGCCTGAATTTTATGGGCAACAATGCTAAGTTTTCCAAAAACAATTTACTCAAGCTGAAGGACAAAACAGTTTCCTCCGATGTTCTAGAGAAAAGGAAAGGCTTTTAGACATTCTCTCCATACATCCTGTGTAGTTTTCTTTCACAATTCATGTTCAGGATGAAACCTTTCAAGGTTTCTAAAGCATCCCATTTTTGCTTGGATTATATGATTTTCTTTAGCTCTGTCAAGTCAAGGTTTATTGCATAAATTCCTCTTGAAGATAAAGTCTCCTTCCAGAATGACCTGGGCTGTCCTTACATTAGCAGGGAATGTTGCCTAAGACAAGAGTGTGACTAAGTCTAGCAACTTCTTTATATCTTTTCTGTTTACTAAAAAGCCTTAGCTGAAATCCTCAATTAGCAAAAATCACGATGGGCAACACAGTCATTCTTTTCTGCCTCTTCACATAAGATTGATCCCTCCCAAAGGGAACAGCATGATACGTACTGATGGATATATGCATGTATCTGCTCTGGGGATTAGAGAGTTAGGGAGAAATCTTTGAGCATCTCTGTTCAATCAGAAATGTTTTCTTCCTCTTTTAGGAACCCATGTCCTTCAAGGTTGTTGCCCTATATTTCTCCAAAGAGCAGATCCAAAGAGATCCTGGATTGCAATCAAAGAGCTCTGCACAAAGGAGTAATGGGAGACAGTTCTAGGAATGTGGCATTTATTTACTTAATTTGTAGACCACCTGACTCCCTAATGACTCTGGGGTGATTTACAACCAAAAGCCCTAAATGTAAAGAATGCAATTGAGCAAAGTGTCAGACCAGACCAGACCAAAGCAAAGCAAAAAGGGAGAACAATCAGGTCTTTGATAACTTCCTGAATGACATAAAGATGGGAGCTACACAGATCTCTGGGGGAAAGATAATTTCAGAAGGTGGGAACTGCAACAGGTCCTGCATGCTGGGTGGGCAGAGATGATTGGAGATAAGTGGTCTCTCAATAATGGTATGTCATTGTTCTGAATTCAAGCAGCTGGTGAAGGATGTTATAGTCTCAAGTAACCAGCCTGTTTCTTCCAAGAAATGGCCAAACCAGAATCTGCCTCCTGGTTGGAAGATCTACTCTCCTGGAGATCCAAGAAAGGTGAGAGAACAAGAGGCCTTTGCTGATAGGACCATTTCTTGCCTTAGTTTTTATGGGTTCTTTCATGAACTTTTCAGTTTGTGTTACTCCATGAGTAATTTCTTCTTGGCTGCCTCCAATCCCCAGATCCTCCTTGTGATGCCCTTAAAAAGATAGTGGCACCAGCCTCTGACACATCTCATCTCTGATGTCTTGATCACATATGCTCCAGGAGGGAGAAAAGATCTGCTGTGCCACCACCTCTGAGGAAAACCAGCTCCCTTGAAAAGTAGTAATTTCTTCTGTCCCCACTCCATCTATGGCTGTTCCCCCCCCCCCCCCCCCCCCCCTATGCCTTTCCCCCCCCCCCCCCCTATGCCTTTCCCCCCCCCCCCCCCTATGCCTTTCCCCCCCCCCCCCCCTATGCCTTTCCCCCCCCCCCCCCCTATGCCTTTCCCCCCCCCCCCCCCTATGCCTTTCCCCCCCCCCCCCCCTATGCCTTTCCCCCCCCCCCCCCCTATGCCTTTCCCCCCCCCCCCCCCTATGCCTTTCCCCCCCCCCCCCCCTATGCCTTTCCCCCCCCCCCCCCGCGCCCGCTGTGGGTCCTTTTACGAGAAGCCAGTTGACTGCTTTGCCTGAAGCCCTTTCCACACACACTGCATTTATATGGCTTCTCCCATGAGGAGTCTTTTATGGGAAATAAGATTACTGCTGTCACTGAAGCTCTTCCCACATTCAGAGCATTTATATGGCTTCTCCCAGGTGTGGTTCTTTTTATGGGAAATCAGGTGACTGCTCATCCTGAAGTCCTTCCCACACTCCACCCATTTATATGGTTTCTCTCCAGCATGGACCATTTTATGGAAAGTTAGGGAATTGCTTGAGCTGCAGCTCTTTCCACCCTCCAGGCATTTATATAATTTCTCTGCAGTGTGGATTCTTTTATGGGAAGCAAGAGAATTGCTGTCAGGGAAGCTCTTTCCACCCCAACCCCCTGCATTTATACAGTTTCTTCACTGTGTGGAACATTTTATGGCAAATAAGGGAACTCCTATTGCTGAAGCTCTTGCCACACTCCAGGCATTTATAGGGTTTCTTCCTTGTGTGGGTCTTTTTA